CACTCGTTCTTCTTTATTGGAGCATATCCGTGATCGGCAGTATGATGATCCCCATTTGTGCATCCTTAGAGACACGGTGCAACGCGGAGGTGCCAAGCAGGTTACCCTAGATGATGATGGAGTTTTGAGATTGCAGGGTCGAGTGTGTGTGCCAAATGTGGATGGGCTACGAGAGTTGATTTTAGAGGAGGCCCATAGCTCCCGGTACTCTATTCATCCGGGCACCGTGAAGATGTATCAGGATTTCCGACAACATTATTAGTGGCGGAGAATGAAGAAGGATATCGTTTCATATGTAGCTCGGTATTTGAATTGCCAGCAGGTTAAGTACGAGCATCAGAGGCCTGGTGGTTTATTTCAGAGGATTGAATTTCCGAGTGGAAGTGGGAGCGGATCACTATAGATTTCGTTGTTGGACTCCCGCAGACTTGGAGGAAGTTTGATGCAGTATGGGTCATTATTGATAGGCTGACCAAGTTCATTCCTGTGGCAGTCTCCTATTCATCCAAGAGGTTAGCTGAGATCTATATCCGGGAGATTGTTCGTCTTCATGGTGTGCCTGTATCTATCATTTCGGACCGAGGTACGCAGTTTACCTCGCGTTTATGGAGAGTAGTTCAGCGAGAGTTGGGCACCCAAGTTGAGTTGAGTATAGCATTTCATCCTCAGACGGACGGGCAGTCCGAGCGAACTATTCAGATTTTGGAGGATATGCTCCGAGCTTATGTCATCAATTTTGGAGGTTCGTGGGATCAGTTCTTGCCTTTAGCAGAGTTTATCTACAACAACAGCTACTAGTCGTGTATCCAGATGGCTCCTTATGAGGCTTTATATGGTAGGCGGTGTCGATCTCCGGTTGGATGGTTTGAACCGGGGGAGGCTCGGTTATTGGGTACGAATTTGGTTCAGGAGGCCTTGGACAAGGTCAGGATTATTCAAGATAGGCTTCGTACAGCTCAGTCCAGGCAAAAGAGTTATGCAGACCACAAGGTTCGAGATGTGGCTTTTATGGTTGGTGAGAGGGTGTTGCTCCGAGTGTCGCCTATGAAGGGTGTGATGAGATTTGGGAAGAAGGTCAAGCTTAGCCCTAGGTTCCTTGGTCCGTTTGAAATTCTTGATCGAGTGGAAGAGATGGCCTATAGACTTGCATTGCCGCCGAGCTTATCAGCCGTACATCCAGTGTTTCATATGTCCATGCTTCGAAAATAACACGGCGATCCATCCCACGTGTTAGATTTCAGCACTGTCTAGTTGGACAAGGACTTGTCTTATGAGGAGGAGTCGGTAGCTATTTTAGACCGACAGGTTCGTCAGTTGAGGTCGAAGAGTTTTCCTTCTGTTCGTGTTCAGTGGAGAGGTCAGCCTCCTCAGGCATCGACTTGGGAGTCTGAGTCCGATATGGGGAGCCGTTATCCCCATTTTTTCCCCGACTCAGGTACTTCCTTCTTCTGTCCGTTCGAGGACGAACGGTTGTTTTATATGTAGAGAATGTGGTGATTAGGTCATCACTTGTTTTAAAACAAAACTTTTGTGTTCCGAGGCCTTGAAACCCTCATTTAGAGTCACCTCGATTTGCGTGCACAGCCCGGCCGCGTAACCGGAAAGCTTAAATACGATAATATGTGAAAAATGATAAGTTTTGATTATAAAATGAGCTAATTTGACTTCGTTCAACGTTTTGGGTAAACGGACTTGGACTCGTGATTTGATGATCCTAGAGGGTCCATAGGAAAATATGGGACTTGGGCGTATGCCCGGAATCGAATTCCGAGGTCCCGAGCCGGAAAAATGAATTTCAAAGAAATTTTTTCCTGAAACTATTTAAAGAAATTTGAAATGAAATTTGATTAGAACATGATGGTACCGGGCCCATATTTTGGTTCCCGCTCCCGGTACATGTCTTATATATGGGTTAAGTCATTTCTGTAGAGTTTGGTTGAAAAGGACGTCGTTTGACGTGATTCGGACCTAAATTACTAAATTTGATACTTGATGAAGTTTGAGAATAAAAAAAAGTTCTTGATTTTGAGGTTTGATTCATTGTTATTGAGGTTATTTTGGCGATTTGATCGCACGGATAAGTTTGTATGATGTTGTTGAGTTAGTACGTGTGTTTAGTTAGGAGCCCCGAGGGGTCGAGTGTGTTTCGGATGTGTTTCGGCAAGTTTTGGACTTAGGAAAAAGTTGTAGATTTAGAGAAGTTGCAGGCCTCTGAACCCAGGTCTCGCGGTCCGCGGTGGAAACTTCGCGGCCGCGGTAGGATGTGTGCGGTCCGCGGTGAGCAAGGCCAAGCCTCCGCGGCCGCGCTCGATTTCTTGCGGTCCACGGTGGAGCTCCGCGGCCGCAGTCCCTTTTATGCGGTCCGCGGTGGAGCTCCGCGGCCGCAGTCCTTTTTATGCGGTCCGCGGAGAGGGTCTGAGAGGAGTATAAATAGACGGGATTTTCAACCATTTTTCATTTTATTCAAAACTCCAAAAACATAAGAGGCGATTTTTCAAACAACCTTTCTTTTCCAAATCAATTGTAAGTCACTTTTAATTAGTTTTATTCAATCATTAACATCTTTTAACATGATTTCAACTTCAAATCAATGATTTTCATGGGGGAAATTGGGTGTTTTGGGTAGAACCTAGGTTTTTCAAAAATTGGGGATTTGGACCTCGATTTGAGGTCCAATTTCAAAACAAATTACATATTTGGGCTCTTAGGGGAATGGGTAATCGGGTTTTGACCACGTGGACCCGGGGCGATTTTGACTTTTTGGGTAAAACTTTGGAAAACTCATTTTCATGCATTCAAATTGATTCATTTAGCATTTATTGATATAATTAAGTAACTTGTCGCTAGATACGAGCGAATTGGCGGAGGAATCGAGGGGTAGAGCTATAATTGAAGCTTGAGTTGTGTTCGTGGCATCGAGGTAAGTGTTTGGTCTAACCTTAGCTTGAGGGATTAAAAGTTGTGTCCTATTTGCTATTTGCTTTTTGTCGAGTACAACGTATAGGCATGGTGATGAGTATCTATATGTTGGTGTCAAACATGACCGTGAGTCTTATCTTGTCGTTGTATTTATTGTAGAAATCGAGTGTTCTTTCATACTTTATTAAGTTTCTGATAGAATTGATATGTTTCCCCGAAGCATGTTTTCCCCTCCCTTTTAAAACTGTTATTACCTATTTATATTTTTGCTGTATATTATATAACTGCACAAGTTTATCTGGAGTCTGGTCCTAGCCTCGTCACTACCTCGCCGGGGTTAGGTCTGGCACTTACCAGCACATGGGGTCGGTTGTGCTGATACTACGCTCTGTATTCTATGCAGATACCGGAGTAGCCTTTGGTCAGTAGCAGTAGCTCGGGAGCCAGCCTTCAGTCCACCGAGACACCGAGGTAGCCTTGCAGGCGTCCGCAGGCCCGGCGTCTCCTCTATCTCATGTATTCGAGACAAACAGTGTTATATTTCTTTCAAACGGTTGAATTTAGTACTCTTAGTAGTCCGTGGATGTTGTGACACCAGGTTCTGGTTAGAGGCACGTGATGGTCTGTGAGACATTTTCGTTTCCTATTATTTAAGACTTCCGCTAAATTTCATATTCCGCTGTTATTTAACTGTTTATTCCCTTGTTAATATAATTGGTAAGAAGTTTTAAAATAAAGGAGTTAATGATTTCTAAGTTCATGGCTTGCTTAGCTTCTACGAGTAGGCGCCATCACGACTCCCGAGGGTGGGAAATACGGATCATGACAGCGACAAACCAGACAACACCGTCTCCCTTGAAATAATTATTCAAGAAGAAAAAATGCATTCTTTTTTAGTTGCATTTATTTTTTCAATCAATTTGACTACAATCTCCATCTTCTGCTTTGTACCATGAAATTCATTAGGTTACGCATGTATTTAATCAACTACAATTTTAATTTTTATGATCTAGATGGAGATACCTCGAATAATAAAGGATTTAATTTAGTAATGGGATTGCATATATAGTTCTTAATGAATTTTATAGTTGAAGAAAAGTCGATTTATGACAAAATTATGAGGGTAATGACTGAAGCCAAAAGTGGATTCTTCTTTTTGTATAGTTATGGAGGAACTGGAAAGATTTTTGGTTAGTTTGTATGAGTCCACCAAACAGTAGAGTACCTGGTCCTCTATGAGATTAAGCTGAGAATGCTGATAAAACTGTAAGTAAAGAAGAGAAGGGATTTTTACGTGGAAAAAGTCCACACAAGGGGATCAAAAAACCACGACCTACACTTATAGGTTTTTAACTTCAATAACTTGCAATCTCCCTATTACAAGCCACTTTGTAATAACCATATTACAAAGACTTCAACTAACTTACGATGCTCTCACCGCAAGCCACTCTGTGACTCTTCTAATTACAAAGACTTTAAACTTATGACTAATCCTAGTCACAACATAAACTCGCAAGTTTACGGATTTTGGTTTTCCTAAGACAAAGCTTCTAAGAAAGCAAAATAGGAGATACAATGAAGAACAAATAACAAGATTACAACTCAACTACGGATATACATAAACTAATTATAAAACTGATCCTTAGTGGAGTTGTCTTCTTTTTCTTGACACACCAGTGACTTCAATGCCGGATGAACACTGTTATGCTTGAGAGAATATCACTGAATGCATAAGTGAAGTGTTGTGCCTTGTACCAAGTTGTTATATCACAATAGATAGTGATATCAATTCTTGGTACACGCTTCTTCCCAATGAAAAGTGACTGCTGCATTGTCTGCTGCACAGTCACTTTTGTGCAGTTGCGTTCCAGCTGTATAGTTGACTTGTATTTCTGTTAGAGAACACTAAGGTACCAGGTCCTAGTTGTGTTCCTCTTTTATAACAGTTGCGAGATAGTCACTTTTTGTTGTTATGTTCTAGCTGTGCAATTGACTTGTACTTCTGTCAGAGAACCCCAAGGGACTAGATCCCTGTTGTGTTCCTCTTTATAATATTTGCGTACAGTCACCGACTTGTACTTATGTCGGAGAACCCTAAGGGACCAGGTCACCAGGTCCCTGTTGCGTTCCTCCCTGAGGTTGTTCATTCATTTGCTAAATATCATACTGGACATTATTCATTTGAAATGTATACCATGTGGGTCAGGTTCTCTGTTTGGATCTTTGCAATAAGTCTGTTAGATCATCAAAACATAAGAAGCATAAGACAAAGACATTGAAAAACCATCACTTTTATTTGGAAGACTCAGTCTTATGGCATACGATCTAGAGGAGACATCGTGTTAACTGTTGCATATAGTGGAATTGCATCTCTTTTGTTACCAGGTGGTAGAACAGATCATTCGAGATTTACAATCGCTCTCAATCCAACTGAAGATTCAACATGCAATATAAAACAAGGTAGTCCTCTAGCAAATTTGATTATAAAGACAAAGTTGATTATTTGGGATGAGACACCGATGATGCATAAATATTATTTTAAAGCTCTTAATCAAACTCTTAGAGATATTCTTAGATTTAAAGACACATTCAGTGCTGATAAACCTTTAGGAGGTAAAACGGTTGTTCTTGGTTGCGACTTCAGACAAATTTTGCAATATCATTGCAAAAGGATTTGGCAAGATATTGTTAACGCTACTCTTAATTCGTCGTATTTGTGGACCCACTGTGAAGTCTTAAATCTAACAAAGAATATTAGGTTACAAAGAGATTAGTTAGATACACATTTGGATGAGTTAAAAAACAATTCTTAATGGATTTTAGCAATCGGTGATGGAAGGATTGGGAGTTTCATTGATGGCATTGAGAAAGGCCAAATCCCGAATGATCTTCTCATAAATAATTGTGATGATCCAATATCGACAATTGTTGAAAGTACATATCCAGATTTCTTTAACCATTCCAGTGACTTTGATTACCTCCAGCAAAGAGCAATTCTTGCTCCGACTCTTGATATGGTGGAGTCGATCAATGAATATATGGTCTCACTCAATCAAAGTCCCGAGAAGACATATTTGAGTTCTGATATAGTTTGTATGTCTGATCATTCTTTTTAAGCTTTGGAGCACGTACATACACCCGAATTCCTAAACAATATTAAATGTTCTGGAATTCCAAATCACTCTATTACTTTGAAGGTTGGTGTTCCTGTGATATTGCAAAGAAATATAGACCAGTCATCAGGATTGTGTAATGGCACGAGGTTGATCATCACAAGACTTGAAAATCAGGTTATTGAATCCAAGGTTTTATCGAGTAATATTGCTGGACAAAAAGTGTTTATCTCGAGAATGACGTTGATGCCATCAGATGCAAGAATACCTTTTAAGTTCCAGCGAAGATAATTTCCAATTGTTGTATATTTTGCCATGACAATTAATAAAATTCAAGACCAGTGATTGTCTCATGTGGGATTATTTTTGAAGAAGTCAATATTTACTCGTGGACAACTGTATGTTGCTCTTTCACGCGTGACGAGTAGAAAAGGGTTGAAGATTTTAGTTTATGATGATGATGGCCAAATAATAAATGAAGCAAGAAATGTGGTGTATAAAGAAGTTTTCCGTAATTTAGTTTGAGATGAATCTAGACATGATGGAGTTATCAAGTATTTACAATATATTTTTCTGATTTCTATAATTGCTTTAACTTTTGAGTAAATATTACTGTTGATTATATTTTCATTGTATAGTAGTTGTAAATGAATAATAATAATCATATAAAACATGAGAATTTCCTATAACAAGTGAACCTGGGTACTTATCCAAAAAAGGAGAAGAAAATAAACAAGTGCGACCTGATTTTAGCTCTGGAAGTAGTAATGTATCTGTATGTCTTGGGTGATATAAAACATTACCATTTCAGGAGAAATAACTTTGGATATCTCTGTTATTCTTTCTTATACTGAAAATTACAGGAAAAAGAAGACGTTCTTTCGGTCTAAGTGATGGATTTCGTGGAAATAAATAAAAATTAAGGGATATTTTAGGATTTTTGATTCTTAATTTCATCTTGGTTACCCATATAAGTGATGTTGGTTGCAAGATTGTATTTTTTTCTCCTTTCTGCTGCGAATTTACTGTTTCAAAACTTTATCTTTTTGCTTATGATCTGCAATTTCAGTTTTCTGCAGGTAATGAGGTGGACTTGATGTTCAGGAAATAATAGAGAATTTTTTTGTACAGTTGTTTAGGATGAAGTTACTCCGAAGGCCCAATCTTTAGGCAATTGATAGGTTCAATACTCTCAAATTGGACATTCAACCTTTTTGTGGTTTCTTTTAGTTTGGAAAAACTGTGGTTCATAAGCCATAAGCCTCCCCATGTTTTGTTTGCCGATTTTATAGAAGTTGCTACACAATTGAGCATCTGTCTTCTTTTTCATCTAAAGATGGTAATGAATGGCTCAAGAAGAATAGCTTATAACTAAATTTAGAGCCATATAAAACACAGGACAATGACGTGTTATACTACTGCATTGTGTAGCTAGTAGAGGAGTTGATTTGATTTATTCTAATTCCGGGGATATTTTTGTTTCTCAACTACTGTTTATATTGAAGTCTCCTTCTTTCCTGACATAAACGACCACCGAAACAATTAATGGAATTCTTTTTTTTGATAACTTATTTTGGTGTTTAATTGCAAGGTTTACTAATGAATTGTATATCTTTTCTGGAATTCCACTTCAGCTAAAACAAATGGACCAACAATTGGATATGTATAAATTTAGTTTTTTGGACCTATGCTTTAGAACAAATTATATTGATCTACCCGCTGATTAAAATAACCTCGATTTTATTTGTTCATTAAACCGAGAAAGATGAAGATAAATCATAAAGTCTTGATGATAGCCTATGCACCTACAATTGATGGGTATACTATGAATGTTCCAGTTAAGGCCTTAGAGCTATTTTGGAGATGAGTTGAAGAAGTAAAAGCACATGAGGTAGGACAATTATCCATAAAATATCTCTTAATTTTAATGCTAGCAGTATTTGATTTCCTATGTATAAGGTTGTAGAACTTATTCATAATTGTGTTATCTGTTCTGGTTTGGTGCTGCTTTTCTTTCATTGCACTCTATGATGTATGTCATTTAGCGTTTATTAGGCTTACATGATTCCAAGCTTACTCTTGCTGTTTATTTTAAATCACATTCTTTTTTTTTTTTGAAAAATATTATGTTCTATATAGTCAAATGCCTTGAATAAGAGAATCTATAACTCAAGTAAGAGAAATTATAAAAAGATGGGTGAAAAAGTACTACTATTTGTCTGAATAAAGCGGAAAAGTACAATTTACTGCATCTCAGTGATCACATGATAAACTTTACATGATTATGAATAACCTTGTCAATCAACTACAACACAAATAAATAAAGTTCCAAATCTAAAGTAATTTAAAATAGAGTCTTGATTTTATGGATCATTTTAGAAATTTAAAGTAGATGGCTTTTTTGAGAGAGAGGGATACTGTTTTGATTGTTTTTTGTTGTTCTAAATCTTGGCTTTGTGAGATTGTCGCGAAAAAAAGATAATCAACTATAAGGGCCAGGAAAAGATTCTGCTCGGCTAAAATTAAGAAATCCTCAACTTTAAGTGGCATTATGTCTTTGCAGAAAGCTCTTTTACATCCACAAGGGGATTTGTTTTCCAACATTATAAAGTGTATTTAATTTTGTTTCATTTTTACCTCCTGGTGAAATATCGAACGTTGGTTGTCCGAAGAGTCTTGCTGCTTTCCGTTTTTCTGTTTTGTCATTGAAATGATCTACCGGTTGCAGATTGTTGATGGAAGACTAATTTTTGTGGAAGTTGTTGAGAATACACAAGCTAACAAAAAACAAAACATTTGGTGAATAACTTTCTTCTAATTTAGCATTTGCATCATGGGAGAATTTTTGGCTATTGCTTAATCCACCAGGGAAATGGTGATGTTTCATTATGTATATCTTGGTGTGATGAAATATTTATTTAATTTGTTTAGCCTACCCAAGATATTGAAGCTTCTAAGTTGAGGACAAAATGCAAGCAAATTTATAGAAAACTACTCCATGAAATAAGAAGCAGAGCAGAGGGCACATGATCGATAAGTCCATATATATATATATATATATATAGCTTGGCCATATCAATATTAGATAGTCATAGTCACCCCTAATCCGCATTTGTGCTCTCTAGCACGATCTAACAGTGATATTTATTATATTTTCCATAGTGCTGCCTCACTTTCGTATCCAAGCTTGGAGTCAAAGACAACATTTCTTTGCTCATAGTCATTCATTGAGGTCACTTCGTTCATTTCTATATCCATTGAAGTAGAGATGTAAGAAACCACAATCATATACAATCTTGAAATCATATACAATCTTGAGAGTGTTAGCTCCATCTTTGAATACAATTGGAATAGTTTAACAGTTATGTAATAATACACGAAAGATTTGAGTTTTCAGTTAGCTGAATATACCATGATAAGAATGAAGCATACAAATTAGTTGTAACATTACTGTTTAATTTCTGTTCATATTGCATTCTTGCATTTGTAGTATATATTTTTACTGGCTAGAGTACACCTATGAATGATATTATCACTTTTAACTCTTGGAATATTTCACAATTTATATCTCATTTTAAGAAAGTTACTACTGTCATACCATACTTTCAATAGAATTCAAATGAGCAATAATTAAGAGCAATATTATTATGCTAATATATTTTTTTTTACAATTCGCGCAACGCGGGTACGTATACTAGTTTATATGAATTCAAAAAAGTTACGTTTTCATACATATAATTACCACTTAATTACGTAAAATATATTCTTGTTTTAATTTTTAACTACAAATATTACATTTTTAAATTTTATATAAACAGCATATACTTAATTGTCATTTACGCACCTTGGAAACGTTAAAAAAACCCAAACAATGGTTAGGGATGAAAGGTACTATATCCTAATGTTCCATACGACGTCGTTGTTCTGCAGCTAAACCCCTCGTCTATAATCTCCACTGGTTCACCTAAACCCTAACCACAACCTCCACACTCCATGGAAAACGAAACCCTAACGGACTCGTCGCCGGCGGCGACTACGACGGAGCATCCGGAAGCTCCAGTACAACAACCTTCATCGAACACCGATGACGGAGGAGTAAGTCAACCATTTAGAACTCCAGAAGAGTTAGTAGCTAAAGCCATAGCTCCTGTGAAGAGGGAGTATCTTCGCCCTCCACCATCTAGACCTTCAAACAACAACGACAGCAACAACAGCACCGTCGGAGTCGAAAACGACGATGCAGCTGAGGCCAAAAGCGCTCCTATTCTTAAGGAGAAGAAATCCAAACGCCAAATTAAACGTGAACGCCGTCAGGTGATTCTAATTATTTAAAAAGCTTATTTTTGACGAATTTAAAAGTCAAACTATTTGTCTTTATTGGAATGAAGTATCCTAAATAGAATGGAATGCATATAGAGGATACGTATAGAGTGTTGAATTGAAATTTTCTCTTCAAAAAGTTCCATTTTAGCTGAAGATAATTTTATAACTGATATTTGTGTGATTGTTTTCCCGGAAACAGCCTCTCCCCCTCTGGGGTAGGGGTAAGGTCTGCTGCGTACAAGACCCCATTGTCGGGATTTTACTGGGTTGTTGTTGTTATATTTGTGTGATTGTCAAAACATTACCCGCACCGGCATCTGGTGAATATAGGACATGTACCCTTCATACACACATTTATCAAACCATGGTTCAATGATATGTATTTTTACTTCGATTTTAACAGCTAAGGATTAATTGCTTGGTTTGGTGAAACACTGGGTGTGGTAAGTATTCTTTCATACCGACAGTTATCACTTAACCATGATTAGATGATATATATCTTTACTTTAATTTTTAACTGCTGGGTTAAGTTGTTTGGCTTGCTGTAAACACTGGTCGAGTAAATATTTACTGTTGTGATTGTGCATTTTAAGATTTTGGTTGGTATAATCACTCATAAGAAATAGAAAAAAGAGATTGTGGTTGGTGTGGTTATTTTATAGTAAATGAAATGCTTGAAATGATTGCAGGAACAAAAATCACCATTGCATATCTGTCCCGAGGTGGCCAAAACTGGAAAAGTTAGTGCGTGCCCCTATAGTGACAAATGTCGGTTTAGTCATGACTTGGAAGCTTTTAAAGCTGAGGTAAATTAAGAAATAATATCATAGTTATCGTTATGATGCTGTTATGTGATCCCGTAAAATTACAATCTTTGCTGTTGTTTTGAATGCAGAAACCAGCTGATATAGAGGGTAGTTGCCCTTTTCTAGTTTATGAAGGGCCATGCCCTTATGGATTGGCTTGTA